ACCGAGAGAGTCTCACCTGAGCCCTCATTCTGACAATGTCTTCCTGTAAGTCCCTGGTGCGCCCTGTGCACAGCCGAATGGGCACTGGTGCTCAGAGTGAGCAGGTCCGTTACTGTGAAAATCCGCTAGCCAAGTGGCCCCTTTAAGAGGCGTTTGCCACTGCTGCAGCCTCCGTCTAAATTGGCCACTTGAGACCAGGCAGCCCCACATCCTCACACCATCCTACCTTTTGCCGTTGCAGGGTGCTTTCTTGGACTTCTTCCTAGTTGTATGGCTTGTTCCTCGATCCCAGGCAATTTTTCCTTGCTGCTGCTCCTTGTTTCCATCACAACTTTGATTTGGTCGCCAGAGGGATGAACAGAGCCTCCATCATCTACGCCATTTTTTTTTCTCTTGTCCTTGGATTGTTCTTAAAGGATGTAGAGCTGCCTTCTGCCTTCTGGATTCTTGCAGGCTGGACTGTGGGCATAATGGGGGTTCCAGCACTTGCTGTGGACCAGTGGTCCCCAATGTTTTGGCACCAGGAACCAATGCTCCTATGAGAATCTAATGCCGATGATTTGAGGTGGAGTTAAGGTGGTGATGTTGGTACTCACTCGCCCACCACTCACCTCCTACTGTGTGGCCCAGTTCCTAAAGCCAAGGACCAGTACTTGTCTGCAGCCCAGGGGTTGGGGAACCCTGCTATAGACCACAGTCATCAGTGATGTTTGGGCTGTGAACCATTCATAGCAAGTGTGCAGAGGAGCTCAAGCCCCTAACACTGTGGAGCATCCAGTAGCTAAACAGCTATCTCTAGGCTTTTTACCTCAGAGAGAAATACACTTCCACTTTCTTTAAGCCCTTGTTACATGGGGATTTTCAGTGTCCCTGTTAAATGCAATCCTCACCAATAGAGTGAGCAAGCCTTGATGCAGAGAGGCCAGCTACAAAACTATTGCAGCTGCAGGGGACAGACAGGAGGCTGAACTAAGGTGATAGCAGCAGGGATGGTGAGGAAAAGCACGAGTGATGGTTGAGAGCCTGTGGATTTGATTCCTAAGTGGGTGAGGAGATGAGAGATGAAGTGAAAGCAGGAGTAGAGCATTGTACCTGGGTTTCTGGCTTGGCCACGTTGGAGGGAACATGTGAGAAGGAGCATGGCATGAATAGGAGCCCCTGGGGGGTCTACAAGATGAGAAATCCAAGGACAGAACCTTTAAGAACAGAAATAATTTAATGAGCGAGCAGTGACACCATTAGGCAGATGGCACTAGAACCAAAGGCAGAGAGGTTAATAATCAGTCATGAGAAGTAAAATATGATGTGGAATGAAATCCCCAGGAATCTTTTCATAAAAATTGCCACGATGTGATGGATGTAGAAGCTGGATGGCTTAGGAGCTAATATGAAGGTAGAAGATGGACAAATTATTCTAGACTGCATTTTAAATGATGTTTCTAATGGAGAGGAGAGTTACTGCCACAGTGGTTTGGGGAACTGAGGGAGTTTATACTTTTCACCTTCAATTTTCTTGGTGAGGTAGGAGAGAGTGTTACCCTTGGGAAAGGGTAGGTCATGGGATTGTGGTGGGTTTGAGAAGATAAAGGTCTGAAAGGCCATCATGGGGGAAGAGGAGGAGCCAAGAGGTGACAGGTCTACCTGGCTTTGTATGGAGGGCCAGTGTGATTTCAGTGGTAGCCTTTGTAAAAGGCACCAACGAAGACCAAAGTGAGGCAAACCAGTGAAGTCTTAGGCCACGAAGCAATAACTGATGACTTTGGGCTGAGCTGCGTTACCTCTGCCAGTCGGTGCTGATCCACAGCAAGGATGTCCAGGTGCCCATGTACTGCACAGGACTGGTGACAGAGCCTTTGCTGTTACCTCCTTGCAGGCAGCCTTCCCCAGGGGATGAACACCAATAACTGGTATACTTGTTATTGGTTTGGTTTCCAATTTGATAGCAAGCTTATAAAAACACAAAATGAATCAAGGCCACAGGCTCTTCTCAATGGCCCAGTTGTGGCCTGTACATGGACAGCAAAGGGAAACTGTTTGGAAGCTTGGAAGGAAAGGAGCTGGGGATACTTGGATAAACCCAAAATAGGTCACTAGCCTGGACACGGTGAAGGTGCCTAGACTGCCATATTCTCTCTTTACACAGCCGTTCTGCATGGGACATCTTGCTTCACATCAGCTTTCATTCGGAAGCCCAAATTCTGTCACGTTTCTCTCAAGTGCTGACTCTCAGAGGTTGTAATTAGTTTTGTTTTTCTTTTTCAAGCATCTCCAATTCAATCTACCTCCAAGATTCTAAATGATTTTGACAAACTGTGAGCACCTCGGCATTAAGATACTGAAGAGTGTATAGATCATCTGTGGCCCGCATTTCCTTTTCTATCTTGGCATCTGTATAGACAGAATGTTTGTATCCTTATAATCCATATGTTGAAGTCTTGACCCCCAGTATGATGGTATTTGGAGATGGAGCCTTGGGGAGGTAGTTAGGGTTAGATTAGGTCATGAGGGTGGGTGCCTCATGATGGGATTAGTGGACTTATAGAAAGAGGAAGAGCCAGACCTCTCCATACCCACATACTGAGGAAAGACCATGAAAAGACAGTGAGAAGAGGGCTGGCCATCTGCAAGCGAAGAAGTGAGCTCTTACCAGAAACTGAATCAGTTGACACCTCGATTTTAGACTTCCAGTCTCCAGAACTGTGAGAAAATAAATTTCTGTTGCTTAAGCCACCCAGTCTGTGGTATTTTGTAATGGCAGCCCAAGCTGACTAAAAAACCAACCAACAAACCAACCAACCAATCAGCCAATGAAACAAAAAAGAAAGAGCACATTTTCACCCAGCCTAACTCCTTTTAATACCAAGAATTCTTCTTGAGTGGCATGGAGACTACGGGATGCTAGGTGATGCCATCCTGGAGGGTAGAGTGCCTAATGCTGGCACACAGCCCTTGTCCTTTAGCTTTCTATTTCTTATGGCTTGTTTAGGTGTTGGGGTCCTGACCATGGCGTAATTAGGGTTAAATTTTGGATGGAGAGTTGCATGAGACACATGGTGAGAACACTTGCTCCCAGTGGTATTAAATCACCTTGTTATTTATTACCCTCTAGAATCCTCTAATTTACATGTGGTCTCTTTTCATATGAGTATCTTGAGTAAACTGAGTTTGTTTAGACAATTTTATGGGTACTGTAAAACCACAATTGAATTTCAGGACTTTGTAGTAGTCCAGCCAAGATGCTCTCCAATTAGAAATAATTGCTATTAATGCTGTTATGATGTGGTGTATGCCCACTATGCCCCAGACTTTTGTTCTACTAAATCCCCTGAGAGTCTCCTCTTTATTCTTCAACTAAATAGACAGGCCACTAGAATACATGCTTTTGGAACTGCAATATAGGAGCAATATTGTGCCTATCTCTTAATTAACCTTGTTAACCAAGGATTTGGAACATCAGTTGGCTTAGCCTAAGAGCGCCTTTTGATCCTCTCGGTGCACATCCACAGTTGAGTAGAATGTCACTCTTGTGAAATAAAATGCCTTTTATTCTTTGGCATATACCAAATAGCTTTATTATTCTTTGAGTAATGATGTAATATTGTTTAATGAAATAATGTGTGTAAAATGCTTAGCTTTGTGCCAGGCACAATAAACACTAGCTATCATTTTTATTATCATAAAACAAGCTTTTTTTTGTTTTTTGTTTTTTTTGTTTTAAAAAAAAAAGCCTTTCCAAATGGAAAGGAAATACAGGAGCAGAATCATGCAGACAGCTCAAGGTAAATCAGTCCACAGTAGATCCACATTCCTGTTGCGCCCTAAGAGCAACTTACCCCTAAGATATTCAAACTCCTTCCTTTTGACTCTCACAGGGTCTTCCAAGGTACCTCTCATCCCTTCTTGCTCCCCACACAAAAGGAGAGAGAAAGGCTGCTGTTTTCCTTGCGAGGCAAGTGCCCCCTCTGGCCTGGGAAA